TGTAGACTCTGAAAGGCTGGTTCAAACACAAGCCTTTATTCAGAAGAAAACCAAAACAGTACAAAATGTACAAACGGAACTTCAGTCATACATTCAACATATGGCTCTGGCCAGACAAGAGGGTGAGCACAGCGAAACCTCTTCTCGCTTCACATACTACCTGCCACCAGATCCCCCAAACTGGAAGGGATAGAACGACGTCCTGCTCTAACCAGGATACAACTAACAGCACCCTTCACGGAAAGGAACATAGCACAGCAGCTCCCTTGAGAGGAGGTGCCATTCCTGCTTCTCACAACCTCCAGCCCCCGTATGGAGTCATGAAGCCATGCAGGTTTGTCACAGCACCCTTCACTCTCACAACCTCCAGCCCCTGTATGGAGTCATGAAGCCATGCAGGTTTGTGCAGGGTGATTGGACTGGGCTGTTTGCGTCTGCAGGTGGAGGGCAACATACCTGAATGGGCCCCTGTATTTAAAAAAAAAACACCTCTCCACCATCACAATCAACCCACTGAGGAGAATGGGTAGGCCTCAACCCCGGTCCCTAGAAAATAATTAAGTTGACCAAATTAGGCAGGGGGTTATTCATATCATATAATTCCCTCCATTTACCATCTGACAGGGTACAGCCTATGTAAAGCTACAGTGTGTGACTTTTCTTCATGTAGAAATTGGCCATTACCACGTTAACGTACCCAAGTTATTACAGCTGGTCACCTCCCACCTTAGAACATCTGTAGGGCAACTGAGTTTGGCAAAGCAGAAAGCAACGTCATGGGGTTCTCTTTGTTAAAACAGGGAAAGGGAAGTTGATCCATCATCCTCTAAGCTTTCCGACACCCGGGCAGAGAGGCAACACATCCTTAAGCTATCATGTTTACATTCCAGCTCCTTCAGGGCTAACAGGGGTGCCCACCTCAAGAGGAAGCAGAAAATCAGCCCACACTCAGGCACTTTAATGGATCTTCATCCCAAAAAGACTCATTGCTGCCTCATGTTACCCCCCACACCCCCAAACACAACATAGGACGGCAGCATGTGTGGGTCCAACTTGGGAAAAGATCCTTCTGGGAGCAATAGAGGGTGAAGTCCAACTGGTGTCACTTGGAAAGGAATGGTGGCTGATGGTAGGACACTACCCTCCCCACAAGCTCCGCTGTCGCCATGGCACCCCCCCCAATCCTCAGCGCAGAAATCAAGATACTCTTGTGTTCTTCAGTGAGCCAAGCTGAAGAATTTGCTCCCTCTCCCCACTGCAGGTCTACTGTATTTCAGGCACATGCTCTGGAAACGAGGATGAGAAGGGGAAAAAAAAGAGCCAAACATGTAAGCCACAGGTTGCAAGAGAAGACAGTAAGTGACTGACTCGCAGCCACCATGGCGCATTCAAGGCCCTTGCAATCTACCCCACGCCTATCTTACCATGATTTCGAATTCACTTCATTCAAGGAATCTTCTTCCAACAGGAAGGCGTCACCACTCTCAGACATGGAGGCAACTTCTGCAAGGGAAGAGTAAGAGGGATCATCAGCCACCAGCAGGCCATACCCGATTGTGGTAGTGGTGGTGATGATGAGAGCCATCATTCTGGATGCCTTCAAGAAAGAAGAGGCGCTTAACAGACCAGCAAACTACATCCCTCCGAACCCGTGTGTTACACCTTGCTGCGAGCAGTCCGAAACCTTCCTTTCCAGTTCTGGAATGATAGACATGAAGCCGTTTCCTTACTGCGATCCCTTGACACCCTGGAGTGAGAGGATTTTCAGCAAGAGTGGCCATCAAGCAGAGATGGGGGGGATGCGTAGCTACAGGTGGTGGCACTCCAGTGAAATCATCTGTAGCTAATCAGCTGGTTCAACCAATTTAAATAGATCTGACATTAAAGCCTCCACTTTTGGGATAGCTGGGATCATGTGCCTGGTATGGAACCAGGGAGAACTTAAGGCACATGGAAAAGCTAGGGGGAAATTTTCTCATAGCCAGGGATTGGTCCCTTTCACTTGGCTTGAATTACGAGCGTGGGATTCAGCTACCCACCTTGCAAGGGAAAACAGGCCATCAACAGGTTGAGAGAGCCGGAAAGGATCTCCAGAGATCATCTCTGCTCAACCCCCCCGCCAATGCAGAAAGATTAGAGGCTACTGTTTTTTCTCAAGATCGCTCAGAGTAGCTTGTCATGCATCCCAGATTTCTCAAAAATGTGACCTGGAAATTGCTGTTAAATTGATCCAAGAAGCAGTCAGTGAAAGCCATGCACAAGAGGGTGCGCAGACCAGTGTATCCGTGTGTGTAGTGTGGACGACAGCATGTCCTGCTCAAGCACAGTGCTCCCCCACCACACACACACCTTGCTGAGGTGACCCTTCAAGTGAAGTTCTCAGTACCTGCCTCTCCAGAGGCTCTGTCTTTTCTGCTCCCGTCCAAAGAGGAGATGCAGCCGGAGGAGTCAGCCAAGGACAACCCATCGAGAGAGGGCGACCCTTTGCAGAAGACTGAGGAATCCTCGGATGTGGAGAGATAATAGAAGTAGCCCCGAGGGGAGTAGGTCATGCTGTCGGGCTGACTGAATGATAGGCCCTCCTCCTCCTCCTGGCTGGGGGAGCTTTGGTTCGAGGGCGAGAAGGGCAAGGGTCCCTCTCCGGACTGGTGGCGGTCAAGAGGACTGGATGTCTGGTTTATGTTTGCCCCAAATGTCAAGGGATCCAGTAAGGATCCAGCTTCTACTAACTCCTCTGGCGGATCTGTTCGAGAGTCCCTGCTGCTTTCTTGGGTATTACGAGGAGTCACTGAGGAGAGACTCTCAGAGTTGGCATAAAGGATAGTGGAGAGCTGCAACGACTCATAAGAGGGCGCAAGGCCATCTGGGGAGGACACGGGAGTGGGCGGCCCCATCTCATTCCGGAGCTGTTCAGTGGGTTTGTCTGAGAAGCCAAAGGTCCAAGTTAAGAGAAAGGAGACCCCGCCCCCCCGTCCAATCTGAATCGAAAGGCAAGGAATAGGACAGAAGTGCTGTCCCCATTGACAGCACGGGAGATGACGGTTCAGCTGGCCAGGTGTCACGTGACCAGGTGCGAAAGAAAAACAGCAGGCCCCCTCTGCAGTTCTTCTGAACCAGGGTGCCCCCACCTTCGGGATTTAAGATGGAGCCTGGGAAGGGTCCACGGTCTGGGCGACCACTCCCGGGACTTCCTTGGCCAAAGGGCTGAGACTGTGGGAGCCGTCACCCCGAAAAAGGAACTCCCCTCCCAAGTTCCGTCAACAGCATTCCCTACATAAAACCCTGCCCGGCTGACCACCTGGTCCCAGGCCCAATTCTGGCTGAAAAGAAGAGATTACCTGAAAGGCTGATGCATGAGAGGGTGTGGGCCATCTCATCTGGAGTTTTCTGGGTATCAAAGGGAAGACTCTCTAGGGACATCCCCGTCGTGTTCTCCTAAGGAGGAAAAACAGCACCGTATTTTGGTTTATGAAGCCCTTTTTCATGATGGCCAAATCCTACTGCTAGTCCCACGGAGAGAAGACTTTTGGAAGACAAGGCGGAATGGGGAGCCTCCCCTAGCCACTTCTAGAAACCCCACAGATTCAAAGGGTTTCCTGTAATTGGGCTGTAACTCTGGATGCTCAGTGTGGTGTGGGTACCATCAAGGGACTGACGAGGGTTCGGGAGGCTCAGGTTCGAATCCCTGCTCAGCCACAGAAGCTCACTGGAGGAGTGGAAATGGTAAAGCTATTCCTTAACCATCTCACTTCAAAAGCCCCATTAGGATGACTATAACTTTATTCCAACTGAATGGCACGGAATGACAAATTCGGATTCTGGCCAAGACACCTAAGGAGTTGCCTTTGACAGACAGCCATTTTTTTGCAAAGCCCTGGCTCTAGACAGACCTCCTGCCCCACCCCCCACCCCATGGTTTCCTACCACAAGGGAGGCAAACTGCTGCTCCAGGAAGTCTGCAGACATAACTAAGTCACAGCTCTCTTCCTCCCAGATAAAGGAAAAACCTAGTCCCTTAACATTGCCATGTTGTATTTTGTACAATTTCAAGATCAACTGCCAAGGCACTTTTAAAAACCTAGAACACGAATGGTCAAAGTAAATTTCCTAGCAGAGAATGACATTTGACATAAGTAGAGCTTCCTGTTTGCCCAAAAAGAAGGCAAATCCACAAAAAAGCTCTGCTTGCTCTTCAAAAAGATGACTTCCTTCCATTATCATGAGGACTAGAACCTTGCCCGCCATTTGGACACACCCTAAAGCCTAGGAGCCTAAAGCCAAGAGCACTGAAGCCCCGGCAGGGGAGGTTCCATGACCCGTTACTAACCAGGGTTTTGGGGGGGACACCGGAAGCCGCCTCTTTGTCCCAGCGGTGGAGTCCGTCTCCCATGGCACCATCTCCATCCTGTGGGCACCGCACTGCATGGCCCAAGCGCACCAGCTCTTCGCCCACATCGACATTCTGGGAAAGGAAGGGGGAGCACACTGGAGCAAAGGGCAGATCTGAGAAATCCCAGAAAAAGAAGAAACGGAAAAGAGGGATATAGAAGAGAACTTCCATTCAGTGTCACCTGGCACTCCTACCTGCCCATCCGTGACGTTGTACAATCGCACGTGGGGCCAAGTGGTGCTTCCAGAAGGCACGTAGCTGGAGATCTTGGCCACCACTGGCTTCCACTCCGCACAATGGGTGAGGCGGTCGAATGCATCGAGGGCCGCTTCGTCCCACTGCTCTCCTAGAGAAAGTCAGCAGGCACAATTCTCAGCAAGGTCTGTCGGCCGCCTGTTCCCCCCTCTCTGCTTCCCTTGCTCTTGTCTCTATGCTCCTATGACATATGGGGTCAAAGACCTCCAATGGTTATGGGGAGCAGGGAAAAGGGACCCCATCAAAGAGACCCAGGAGATCAAAATAATCCCCTTTGTTGGGACCTTTCTTGTTTCCCTTCATGGGCAGAATCCAATGCACCTTGACGGCCGATTGCTAAATCGCCCCCATGCTAAATAAAGCAAGGTTTGCTCCACGATTGGCTAAGCTTCCATGACATCACATCCATTTCTAGGGCTGCATCTGGGAAGCCTGCATTCACAGCTGAGGAGAGACATGCTTTGGGGCAGAACTAAAGAGTTTCTAAGGAGGAGGGGGTCCAGGCCGCAGCACTCCAATAAGGAGCAACAGGCTGGATTCCCACTTTAGCTACATCATGAAGCTGTGCCTGCTCCTCCTCATCTCCAGTGGGGAAAATTAACACTTCTGCTGCAACAAAAGGGGAGCTGGAACCAATACCCCAGACTGCCTTCAAAGCCCCTGGGAAGCTCTGTGGGGCCTTCCTCCTGGGCCTCACCTGGAGCCAAGTGAGGACATGACAACCCAGACGTCAGCCTCTTTCCCTCCACTTTGGTTCTGCTCCCCTGAAACAAGGCTCAGGCCAAAGCAAGCCACCCCATTCTGGACAGCCCGCTCTGCAAGGGTGGCACAGGATGGGGGCGGCTGCTCCCACTCACCTGCTGGAGCAATGCTGGCGAGGCTGCACTCAATGGCTTGGAAAGGGAGGCTCAGGAAGTCGCTCCTGAAGGAGAAGGCGGGATGAGGGGGTCAGGCTCGTCATCCTGTCCTTCCCTGGACAAGGCCTCGTTGCCAACCACAGCCACCCACTTACCCCGGCCAACTTCTGAAGCTACGCAGCCCAACATGCACATCTGTTGAGATCTTTGTACAAGGGCTTCACAAGACTTTCCTGCCCAGTTTCCAGGTTAAGGGCTCCCAGGAAAACCTTGACTGCTGCCGGAAGTGTGATTCTCAGGTGCGCGCACCCCATACACTGCTCGTCCCAGCAGAAATGCCGAGACTTTGGTTGCAGAAACAGCATCGGCAGTGGAGGCAGCAGCAGACAGAACGGTTCTCCCCACCTCACCCCAGAATGCGGCATGCCCTTGACGGTAAGGAGCTCACCGTAGTGGCCGCAGGTTCTCCAAGGGAGCCTCCCCGTTGTCACCAAAATCCACATAGTAAAGATCCAGGTTCCCATTTTCCAGGGCACCGAGGACTCTGGCTCTGTACCAGGAGAGATCGTCTGGGTAGTGGGCAGCCACTATATCTCCCACATGCACGTCCAGGAGTTGAGACTGGGCAGGAAGAAATGGCAAAGGGACAGACAGGAAGAGAGGGAGAAACAAGAGCTATGTCAAACCGCAAGGAGGAAGGGGGAAAAAGACATCTCGAGGGGGGGGGAGGAAACCAACAAGGGGATGCTTCACGGGGGAGAAGGGACTCACAGGGCAGCTGCTGTCACTCTCGTAGAACTGGGTCATTTCGCGGGTGAGTTTGTCCAGCTGCAGAACCCGCGAGCCGATGATCTGAATCCAGAAGTGGTTGGGGTTCTCAGCGGCTGAGATGTAGACCTCCAAATACTCATTGGCATGGAAGCTGAAATCAGGGCTGGGGACTGGAGGCACAAGAAGCCAAGTCAACCAACCCAGAGCAAAGCTGGGGCCTAATGGTATACAAAAGGAAGCTACATCTCTCGGGAGTGGGGGTGGGGGTGGTTCAAGGACAGCCCCAAAGAGACATCCGACCCATCTACAAGCATACTGAACATCCATAGTCTTTTAAAATGAAGCTGCACATATGCACAGTCACAGAAACAGGGGCCCATGTAATGTAAAGGATGTATATCCAATGTAGCAAATCATTTTTTTTTAAAAAAGAAGAGAGACAGAAGACTGGTTTGTAGCCTAGCCACACCCATCTCTTCCTATAAGCTTTGTATCATCCCTCACAGCCACCTGAACAGTTCCTAGTGAATCCTGTTGTTACACTGCACAACAGTGACACCTTGTGATGAGTAAAAATCAGTATCTTAACATTTCAAGCCGCTTAAAAAAAACAAAACAAGACTCTTCTCACGACACCTTGTGATGAGTAAACAGTATCTTAACATTTCAAGCCACTTAAAAAAAACAAAACAAGACTCTTCTCATTGGCTGTGATAAAAAAAGACAGAACTTCCAAATTCAGAAGAATTCTGTCTGGGAACAGGCTGCTGAGTGACACTGCAGGGAGCAAGGAGAGGCGCAGGCCCCTCTCCTCCTGCCTACCTTCAAACGCAGAGCTTGGACAAGAAGCTGCAGACACAGAGTCTTCGGGGGATCCTTCTTCGCTTCTTAGGGAGTGTGGTTCACCTGGGGGATGTTCCGGGATCCTTTCTCCAGCCCCTGGCGGACCCGAGGGCCTGGGGGGCTGCTCAGAAGGTTCTCTGCCAAGGGAAGGCAGCCCTCGCTGGTCCCCAGCGGCTTCTTCCTCCTTTCGCATGCCGAGTGGCTGCTTGCGTAGAAAGCGGGCATGCACCGACTCAGACAGCTTCTTCTGAAACTCTTCCTCTTCCGAGAGCTTCTCTGTGATCAGGTGCTGAAGGAAACAGAAAGCAAGGGGGCAAACCTAAGAGGCTAGACCTCAATGGACTACAACTCCCAGGATCTGCCCACCACTGGGCTCGCTGACAAGGCTGATGGGAGTTCAAGGCTCAAACATGAATGCAGCCAAGGATTTATCCAGTCCTTTCAACTTACAAGGGGAAGCCGATCCAGTGGCTTCCAATGAGGATGTGAAAGGGTCCCAATTAGAGATGGGCATTAACCAGTTCTTCCCAGGTTGTAAAGGTGCCGCTGCTCCACTCCCCTGAGCCAGAGGAGGCAATCAGCCACTCTTAACAGGCCAAGGGTGGTAACTTTCTGCACCTCCTCAACTTATCTTCCAGTCCTGCCAACAGCTCAGGCTTCTCTGGCCCGTCCTCCCGGCTGATTGCCCACTCAGGCAAAAGGGCAAGCCTCGTGACTGGGAGATTAGCAAGCTGGGCCTGGTGAGTGGCTGAACCTACTGAGGAGGTGGAGGAGGGGAGCAGCGTCACCTAGGCTGCCAATTTACAAAGTGGGACAAACCAGTTTGTGCCCATCTCTAGTCCAGATCTTAGCAGTGTCAGGACCAGGCCACCTCGGGCACCCAACCCCACTCACCTTGGCAGCCTGCACCTCTTTCAGCGTCCCAGAGAGCGTGATGAGACGAGTGAGGGAAAGAGCCGCTTCCGTTTCCCGTTCACATTCCACCTTGGCCCCAGTGCTCCGGCAGATGGACCGCACTGTCTCTCCACCCCTGCCTGGGGAAGACACAAGCAAAGAAGGGGTGACCAGTACACCCTCATTTCATAAGTGGGGGCAAAAAGAGTGTGTGCATTACGCATACCAAGATTCATCTGACTGTACTGCCTGAAAGGATATTTTCAGTAACCATGGATGGATAATATCTTTCTCAATCACTAAAATACCACGAATGGGCAAGGTCTGAGGTGATGCCTCTTTCCAGCACTCCCGAGTCCCCAACACCCAGATTTAGCGTCTGCCAGGGTCCCCTGCTGACTTCCATCTTTACCATCACCAGCATGCAGTAGACCTGGCTGCTTCCCAGCCCAAAGCAGAGGATGATTAAGGGATAAATACCAATGATACGGCCAACAGCACGCTGGGGCACCTGGATCTTCTCCACCACAGGCAAACTCTCTGCCAAGATTTGGTGGATGGCAGCTTTTGCCTTGCACACCTCAATGGGGGAACCACAGATCCTGACCAGCCGCTCTTCAGCAGACTCCTGCACGTCAACATCAATGCGGGCATGGGTGTCTCTCCTCAACTGAAAAGGAAGGCAGACACCACTGCTGGTCAATCAGAGCAGGACAGAGTGTGTGACCGTTTCATTTTATGCCTTTTTAGAAGGACTCCCCTAAAAGGCAAAAGGTAACGGGGTCATTGCATGCGATTTTCCTTGTTTGAGATCTTCCCTGTGAGAAGCAAAGTGGGCGAATTCCTCTTTAGAGGTACAGTATTTTGATTGAAACGGCAGAAGTCTCTAAAGGGCCAAGGAATGGATAAAGGCTGGCAATGGTGCCACTAAGGCAATAATGGAGGTGGCGAGGCAGATCCTGCTGGAGACAGGGAAGGGCCCCCCACGAAGAAGGCCCGGCTCCCTTATCACCAAGAGCAGGCAACTCCTAGATAAGGGGCTCAAGGAAAGGTGTACAAACAGGGTGAGTTGGAGGCAGGCAACCGTTCCGGCCTCCAGTCCTAAACATTCAAATTCTGAAATAGCTCTTTGTTTCTCTTGTCGGTGCATCCTCCTTTGTTTGCAAAGTCCTCTGGGAAATCTCGCAGGAACACCACAAACTGCCTTAAGCCCGTGAAATGATACAGGGGTTAGAGAATTTAGCTAGTGCTTCATTTGGAAACTTGCCTTCTTGATCTGGGCTCCATGCTTTCCGATGAGAATTTTGACAGCCTCCTTCGGGACCTTCATCTCCACTTCGATCTCCTCTTCCCCCACAAACGTCAGGCGTTCTTCTGCATGGTTCAATCAGAGTCACAATCCTCAGAGGCATAAAGTTAGGCAACACCCAAGTATAACCTTGAAGCTACTTTTAAGTGGCAGTGAAGATTAAGAAGGGGTGTATTTGTTCTTTTGGGGCAGCATGTTACATGCTAACCACAAAGTTACTAACGAGCAATGCCAAACAAGCTTCTTCAGAAGACAACTATCTAGCAAAAACCATTTCCCACTGCCACAGCCACCCTCAAGGAAGATCATGAGGAGTATTCAGACAGACATTCTCCATGCACACAGAGTACCAAGGGTTACACAACACAGCTCTTGTTAACTGCCTGTACTAGCTTTCCTCAACTTGTTCCTCTCCAGATACGTCAAACCATAATCCCCATATTCCTTCACCAATAGCCATGGTGCCTGGGACGGATGGGAATGGAAGTCTGTGAAATCTGGGACACACCAGATCGAGGGAAGCCTACTTTACACCCTCAAGAACAAGAGCCTCTGAATCACCAGCAAACGCCGTGTCAAGACCTCAAGGAAGGCTCCCTGAGACAGTCACTAGGGAAGGGTAAGCAATCTGGCATTTCTTGGATGCCTGGGACTACAACTCTCATGAGACCCAAATGGCACAGGAGATGGTCAGGGATGTTGCCTGGAGAGCATCCAAGGGTCTCAAGCTGCCTCTACTTAAATCCATGATCCTTGCTTTCAAATAAACCCACAAACCCACTGGCATTCCAGCCCTTTTGTATCCGTTTCCTAAAGCATGAACTCCACTTCCCAGGCAGACACATTTTCTAGCTTAGGTATCCAATCTCATCTGATTTCAGACACAGCAGCCTCTCATTCTGCAGTGCCAAAGGCAGCGAGGTGCCAAGACGAGAGGGAGGGAGACAAAGTACAGGTAAAACAGAGCTATTAAGCAAATGCTCCAAAGGTTTGGATAGTGGCCAAAGCAGAGAAGATGGACAGAGACGCAGCCAAGGGGAGCCTTGACTATTTCACTGCCCTGGACCAGACCAGCGTGCAAAATCGGACTGAAACTACTGTTCAAGTGACTGACCACCACCCCCAGCAGACATATCTACCTTGACTTTCCCGGTAGCGGCGGTAGAGGATGTAAAGAATGGCGCCACTGGCAGGGATCCCCAGGCCAAGAGCCACCTTCTGCAGCGTCGTCAGGCTGGCCCAGGAGCTCCGTTCGCCAGCCATGGCACCCACAACTGTGGTGGTGGAGGAAGGCATCCTAAGCGGAGAGGGGAGGAATTTTCTGAGCAGCAGTTCCCCACTAGAAATAGACACCAAGTACACCATTCTGGCAGGCCACAGACGGGTTCCACCAGCCCTTGGCACTGTCAGGGAAAGCTGGAACCTGGAGCAGACTGGCTGCTGCAGAAAGGACCTGGCTGGGCTGCCTGTCACTGATCTGACCGTCCCGTGTGAAGCTTTTTCTCCTCCCCTCCCCTCCATTAAATGAAGGATGCCCAGCTCAGCATTTCCAAGAGGAGGAGTCAAGCTGAGCAGAAAGAAAAATCAATTTTGCTCTGGCAGTGTACTTACAGGCTCAATTCCCACTACTACACAGAAGCGGCCCTGATGGAACAGACTAAATCTCTCAAACCCAATAAAACAAAGCTCACACCTAAGGCACAAAGCCGACAGCTCTCTGTATGTGCCTCGTGCTCAGATAAACCACCTCTGTACGTGGAGGTTCTATTATGAACTATAAAGTCTTAACAGTTCTGTAGGAGCAGATTGATATCCCCCCAAATCAGTATGCCTTTCCCCTCAAGCAGCCAGCTCAGATACCTCAAGGATGTCTGCAGGAAAGGCCAACAAAAAGCAGCCCCTTCTCTGGATGCTAGAAGAGGCCTGGCTCCGAAAGAGGAGTTTCCATTTAGGCATCACGGCCTGTCATCTCTGACAGAACCCTCCTCATCTACAAATTCCTAGAAATCCAATCAGGTGGCAGTGAGTTCCACAAGACCATAACACAGTGTGGGAAAGCATCTCCCCTTCTACTCCCCCAAATCTGCCTGCACATAAAACAAGGCTTGCAACAAGATGCCCCCTTACCTTAACATGCCTCACTCATTCATTCTCCACTAGCTCCCTTCTCCCTCCTTGACCTAGCCAGCCTTCCATCACAGATAGTCCTTTACCCAACCCATCACAAGCCACCCTCAGCCATCCCACACCTCAGCTTCCCTCCTCTCTTCCCATTACTTCTTATAACCTCTACAGCCCCCCCAAGTTCTCTTGCTTTTCACCCCACCTAGGAAAATTTTCAATAGAATAAGAGACATGGCAAGAGACAGAACAAAAACGAAGACCTTGGACCTCTTTTCCAGGTAGCCCAACCCCCCTCCTTCATCCAACCCCCTTTCCCTGCTCCAAATCCCACAGCTTAACTACAGAGAGCCAAACCCCTTGCTTCTGGAGGAGAACCACCAACTAGTGAATGGAACTTCTGTAAATCCCTGTGGATCAATGGATTTACTCTAGTTTAGAACCCGAGAATAACTGCATCCAGGCCATCTCTGCTCTTCCTCCTGCTCTCCCTAGTTTTATAGAGGAGGAAGGATCCAGACATTCTTTTTCTAAAGACTTTCTCACACACACACCGATTTTCTCCCCATTGACCCCCATGTGCCCGCTTCGCACGCATGCGCGCAGGTTCTCCCTCTGGTCTGGCCCCTGTTCTCCCTGCAGTTGTACTAATAGCAGTCTTACCCTCAGCTTTTTGCCATATTCTTATTTCTCCCCTTCCTTTCAGTCCTTCCCCTCCCCTTCCCCAGACATGAACCAGCCTAGTTCTCTTCTGCGTCCGCACTGCGTTACCTGAGACGCTACACTGCCACCGTCATCCTTCTCCCACGCCGCCTGTGGCCGCCCTCGCATCCTGCCTCTTATATCAACAGAACTCTCCTACCGGACCAATCACCGTGCGCCGCCCGCCCCCTGTCCGGAGCCTCGCCCAATCGGTCGCCGGAGCCGCGCTCTCGGGCCCCGCCCATTCGCTTTAGGACACGGGAGGGCTGGGGAAACAGCGCGGCCAATGAGGGAAAAGCGCGTGAAGCGTCGCGCGTGGGCAAAGGCGGGAAGAGGAAAGCTGGGGGGGGCGGTGCTTGAGCTATCTTAATCAAACAAATCCGTTATCTTAACCAATAGCGCGGAGGAACTAGGGCAGCGCTTCAGCCAATCAGGATTGAGCGTTCGGAAAAGGCGGGAGGAGGGGGGTTTCAACCGTCGTCCGGGCCTGGCCCGGCACGCGGAACACCTGTATAATTGAAAACGGAGTCCGTTATTCACAAAGTCCCATGATGCACTGGGGCACACTGAGGGTAGCTGTGAGGAAAAGAGAAATATGAATAAGGGATTCTGGCTGACGTACTGAAAGTAAATAAATAAATAAAACTGCCTCATTATCCACATGCATGGTTCTCCAGCTGCACCTCCCAAGCATGACTACCACAAGGGCTACCCACATTCCCTTTTAAATTTTGGAATAAAAGGGAGCTTCTTTCAGTTTTTATGAGGGGAGAGCAGAACAGAAGAGTTTAGGAAAGCTTTTTTTTTCTTTTAAATTTACAGTTATAGGCCACTTCACTTCAAACTGAGCAACCCGTTTCTTCCTTGCTATGGTGCTACTATTTGAAAGTTCATGGCAACCTGAAGAATGAGAAGTTTCACATGTTTTTATAATAAAACATAAGCTCTGACCAAACATGGATCTTCTTGACACATAATATTCCTCAACAAATAGCTGAGACTTGGAGCAGTGGATGTGAACAATTAAAGCTTTCTCTTCAATGCAATTATTTGCTAAATTTAAAAATATAGATATTATTATTGTGAGTCCCCTATGGGGAGAAAGGCAGCAAATAAAATAAATATATTAGGCAAAGGCAAATTATTGGGCAAATTTCAAAGAGGCAACAATGTTACGTGTACTGTGTTTCAGTATGTATAAGAAAAAGACAAGAAATATACACACTCAATGTGTTTGAGGAAATGGATTATAATCCACAAAAGCTCACACTCAAACAAATCAATTCTTCTTCAAAGGTGCCACACTACTGTTGGGATCATTTCTTAATTTTTTATTTGTTTTGGTTTTTTTCTACATCAGTTTAAAAAAACAGCAACACCCTGTCCTTTTAGGTAGACAATGTGCTAAAGGTTTTCCTCCAGATATCTATCCAGTGTTTCGCAAGAATCAGAGTCTAAACTGCAACTGATCTTTCTCTTAAAAGAAAGGTTAAAATTCTCAGGATAAAGGCCAGTAATAACTTATTTTGTGCTCATGCAACACTATTGCAGAACTGAATAGCTCTGAGCTGAATCTTTGAAACGAGAAAAGACAGTCACATACACAGCTGACAGGACACATCTTGTTTAGTGTTCAGTCATTTTTATTTCAGTGTACTTTTATTTCTCCCCTTCCTTATCACATTTTAAAGGGTTTTTACCCCCCTGCTCTTCAGGTGGTTGCAAAGAGAGCTGGAGATGTCAGCACAGAGCAGCATTTTCAATACACAGCAAAGCAAAACTGGACCATGGAAGGACAATGTACTGGGAATAGATAATAAATCATCCTCCACAGCTTCTTAGTTATGGAGCCCTATAAAACGGCAGCACGGCTGCTTACACATCTCCAAATAGTTGCAGGCACTTTACTACATTCTACAAACAGCACAACATCTTATTTTCCATAATTACTGGAGATTCATTCCGAAGCCCAATAGGCTTAATTGAACCGCACTTAAGTGGATTGATGCTCTTGCTTTATATTTGTCTGTGAGCAAGAGATTCTCTGGTTTTAAAAAGGGAGGGTGTTCATTACATTTTTTCTTTTGCATGGAAATTTGTACTTCTTTACCAATAGTGCATACATACAGATCCAAAACTGAAGCCTTATAGACAGATCAATCATCCATGTGTTTCCATGGAAAATAAGGCTCCCTCACCCCAGGATGGCTGATAGAACCATAATGTTTTTCGAAACTGTATGAGAAAGGATAGTGAATATGGTTAAATCCCATCCTTCTCCAAGTAGAGATTGCAACTAATTTATGGGAGAGAATCTGCATTCTCGTTGATTCATATCAGAAACTCCTTCAGGGTGCATTGGTTTGGGATAAAATGGGTTGTTCCAAAGCAAGCATACCCGCTGAGGAATAAAATTCATTGAATTTCAACTGGATTTATTTCCTAGCTAACAATGCATGCAATTGCAGCTTCAGTCTAGGTAAGACTGCAGTCTTAATGGCCTTGTGTTTACATAGTCCCTGAGTTGCATTCAGCTAAGATTAAATCTGCCACTCAATTTCCTCTCAAAAACTAAATCAGAGACTCCTCCCTTTTTTTCAAATAAATCCCATACACAAAGAAACAACAACAAAATCCTTAAGTCATATTCATATGAAGAGAGAAAATGCCTTTTTCATTGAAGATCAGAAAGAGGCACTAGCAAGAAAGGGGAAGGAATGAAGACATTCAGAGTTGGAGTTTTATAGAGGTGAATCCTCTTTGATCAATGCAGGATCATCAATCCAGGATACGTATTTCCAACTCACAAACCTACAGCTTCTGCTTAAATATCTCCACCAAAGGCCAGCTTGTGACATCATCAAAAATGTCCATTCAACTGTTAAACTCCTTTTACTGTTTACACATTTCTCCTAATATTTACCTAAGAGGGAGCGGGTGACTTCAGTCAGGGAGTGAATTTTCTCCTGTTTTGGAGCTATCCAGGGTCCTGAACCCTGTGGAACAACAGGCAACAGATCTGCCTGCAAGCTTCAGTTCTGTCTTCCTCTCGTCTTCCTTTCTTCCAATTAAAACCCCATTATTTCTTTCAGTCATTCCTTACAAGACTTGGCTTCCACATCCTCTCATGACCTTCATCACCTTCTTCTGGGCCAGACTGTTAATATTCTCAAAACTTAGTAGGTACTCTCTAACCAGGACAAAGAGAGAACATCAAAAAAAGAGAGCCATTTCATCCAGTAGTCTACCCACAATGCTTTTAAGATTTCCATTAGAGACATACTTTCCTTTTTGGCAACCACACAACATTCCCTGGATGATCTTTAGCTCAAGATCCATGAAAACATCAAGAATGTACAGTAAAATGGAAAGTCTGAGCCTAGGTAGCTCAGAAAGCAGAAAGAACCACTTGTACAGCTGTTATGTACACAAGAAAAGCCCATAGTTGTCAAGGCAGGCAACATCAATAATGACGAGTGGGAGAAAAAACTAATGGTGTACCTATACAGCACCCTTCACTACCTTTTCTTCACATTCACTTAGCCATGGACTACCTTAAATTTTGGAAAGGGCATCCATTCTTTTGCTGTCTGTGTATCATTCCAGCTATTCTGTCCAATAACTTGTAAAAATGGTGATGGAAAAGCCCCTAAAATTCCTTTGGTCTTTCTCAGTTCAAACATATGCATCCTTGTTTAACACCATCTAGATACAAGCTTTGGCCCTTTTGCGCAGTACAGTAAAATGATAGGGTCACCCATTGTTTATTAGGTACCACAACCCTTCTTTTATTGACCAGGGTCTAGCCACAAACCATGTTTATGGTGTTTGGGGTTTTTTTTTTTTTGCAACCTTTCTTGTTGGTCTTCCTGAGGATCTTGCTCCCACTTTAGAATAAAATGTGTTGATTGCATGCTTCTTTAGACTATAATGTTATACAGGCTGGGTCTTTACACACAGAGACAATTTAGCTGTTTGGAATGAAAAATCTGGATTAATTGGCACTAGCATAGGACAGCAAAGAGTTGAACTCACAGAAGGTGGCTTACATTCTGGTGAATGTGGGCTGCCATTTTGGCAGCTAGCTTATGAAATAAGGCAGAATTGACCAAATTTTCCTCCAAGAAAACAGCACAGGACCTAAAACAATTTTGCTGCGAAACCCAACTTCTTCACAGTTGGTCAGGTTCCATTATCAGCCTTGTCCCTGCTAGCAGTAAAGAGTTTGCCCTAAACAGCACATGCAATGAAGCTTTGGGATGTTACATTAACAGGGTCCAAAACAGACACTCAACATTTCATGTGTGAAGCGAATTTCTTTCACAATTGGAAACACTTTGTTTTTCAAAACTGTGGGTCAACTGAATTGGAGAGAGTCACTAGGAAACAAAATTCTTTCAGGGGATTAGGTTGAGCTTCGGTTTTGCCTAGAATAATTCTGCAGGCTGTTCCTTCACTCCTCTAAAGCACCCCTGTGATGAAATAAGAAATTGTTATCCTTAGGCTTCTTTGATTCTGCTGTAACTTTGTAGACTTCCCTTGAGAAGTCATTTTGGAAGTGAAAAGGAGGATCTATGTTCAAGGTAGACCTGGGCAGAAGACAGTTGATGAGTGAACTTCCAGACATGAGTGCTACACAAGGAACTGATTTGTTGAGCCAACTGTGATTGGTCCAATATGCAGACGTAAAAGGATTTTGTAAATGCAACCACACTTATTTGGAATCAAATCTTTGAAAACAAAAGCATTGAGTTGGCAGTGTGATAAGATCTGTTCCTCTCCACCCGTCCGCTCTATAGCAAGAGAATAGTTATGGTGAGGAACAAGATGCCTGTTGCCACCACAACCAAGGAGACCTCTGTGATCTTTCCGCCATTGAGTGTGACTTTGAAAGCTGTAATCTCTTCCTGGTAGCCTTCTTCTTTGGCCGTGCATCTGAAAACACCTTGATCCATTGGTGTGCTCTCCCCAAAGCGAAGAGTGCAGGATTGCTCATCCATGGAACAGGGGTACGTCTTGTCATCCTTTACCCATGTGTAGATGGCATGGTGAGACCGTAGAGGACATGGCAAGTAGATATAGCTAGTGGGATCCACACTCACTTTCTTGAGGGCCTCCTGGACTAATTTTTCTTCCATGTTAACAATTGAAAAAGAGTCAAAGCAAAATGATAAGAGAGAGAAAACAGAATAATTTTTTTAAGGCAAGAAAAGACTCCAGTGTGATTTCTGGCTTAGTGCAAAATACTTAAAAAATTTTTTTGATGCTGAAAAGGGACCCCTTTTTTTTCCTGTCCAGGGAAGTATTCTCTGAAGGGTCATCAGCTTAGGGTCGGCTGAGGAAGACATCAGGGATGGGCATGTTTCTATATTAAATTTTGGGGTATTTTAGTTTAGTCGATGACTCTTAATTCACAATTGAAAAACTGGTCCCTGCATTTGTCTAAGTCATTTTGGAAAAATGGGTTTGAAAACTGATAACAAAGCATTGGAAATAAATACAGGTTTACAAATTTAATGCTTTCTACGGGATGTTATGTAATGCAAAAAAAATTTTGCAAACCGAAATGCAGATTGCCGTAGGAACAGGGAACAGCGCTACAAACCTCCAGGCACAATGCAAAGCATTAGAAATAAATACAGGTTTACAAATGTAATGCTTTCTATGGGATGTTATGTAATGCAAAAAAATTTGCAAACCGAAATGCAGATTGCCATAGGAACAGGGGACAGCGCTACAAACCTCCAGGCACAATGCATCCTGGGGAAACTTTCTTCGTACAAAAAAAAAGAGTAAACTGAGGCATTATTTTCAATGGATTTTGCTTCATAAACTGAAAATTACGTTAAACGAAGCATTCATAAAATGAGGTACTGTACCACCGTAAATGAAAGGAACTGCTTGTTAAATACAAATCAAGCCTTGCTGGATCAGACCAAAGTTCTAGAACTTTCCATGTCAGTGTCGAGAGGAGGAATGCAACCAGGGGTCCCTTTCCAGAGGTTCTGTTGGTACATCCGCAGCACCATTTAATGCCTCAGGCTTACTCCTGTCCAAGCCTTTTGTTCCCCATGCCAGTCAGTTCACTGCTGGAGGAGCCTACCTTCAGCAGCTTCACAAACATGGGTGGTGTTGGTAGAATCCAGGCTCTGAAGCAATCTGCTAAAGAAGAATGGGGAAATATCAAAATAGCCTTCTGAAACAGACCGAAACAATGCCCGGCTCAGCCTTCTGCCATGTTGACCTTTGGCACCCCAGATGTTTTGGATGGCAACACCCAGAATCCCCACCTTGCACTGCCAATGAAACAGGACTGTGGGAATCGTAGTCCAAAGCATCCTCAGAGCCAAAGGTTCACCGCTCCTGAATTACATCTCTCCCATAAAGGACTAAAATTAATAATGGCCAACAGTTTTAACTGTCCGCTGTCCAGTTTTTCCTCTTCAAATCAAACCCTCCCAGCCTCCCATCTCTTTGGCCTCTCTCTCGCCATCTTCCCACCCCTTTGGGTTCCCTGGCTGACCTGGCTGTGGAGTTTTTGCTTTGTGAGATGGCAGAACACTTCCTTTCCTCCACATCCCATCCGCAATACGGGTCTCGAGCCAGGACACATTTCCAACAGTTTTCGCTGTACTGCTCACAATCGAACAGAGGAAGGCGTGTCACCTCGGCCCTGGTGCTCACGTACAAGTAACCCTGCAAGAGGGAAGATGAGTTAGAGCCTGAAAGGACAGGAAGAAAGCTCTCCTTTTGCTACCCCATCAGGTGGAAGACAATATGGATCACATAGTAATTTCTTTTTGCTTTACAATTCGGAAAGCTCTCTGGTTGGACACAGAGAAGACATGTCTTTCTCCATATTGACCAGCATAACCTAGTCCCTTAATAACCTTATCCCTCTACTTAAGGGTGCTATTTACCCAAGTAAGCACCATGTTAATGCTGTCTCTTACTCTGGAGGAGTCCAGGATCATAGAGGAGATAGGCTCTTGTTCCTTGAAAGGGCTGATCTCAGCAATAATCACTGTCTGTTCTTTGCTCCGGAGCACCTTGTGGATCTTCCCCTTCGCTGCCGGAAGGAAAGAAGGAAAAACTGTGTTCAGAGTGCCAATATTTTCATCCTCAGCAGGCTGTGAGAATCGGAGGACTGTCTGGAAACAGTTTACTGGACTAGACCGGGGTGGACGCAAAGCCAGTCTCAATCTAGGTTGACCGAGATGGTTTTCAGGAGACCAGCAACTATTTCTGCTTGCCAGCAGTTTACCACCAGCAGCAACAAAACATCTCTCTGTCACCATCTAAAACGATGTTGCCGAAATGAAAAGAACTTGGGATAACCGAGAATGGACTTTTCATAAATGTGTGAATGTGGAAGGATGGTGAGCTCTGTTACTCTCCTTACCTAAAATAATGTTAAAAACAAAACTGAAAACCCTTTCTTTAGGTGAGTCAAACTTGATGATACTGCTATTACATAATTGGAAGCACAGCTGGCTTAACAACTGAAAGAGTTTTCTTCATCTTGCACATTTGCTTCAGGAAATCCACTGGTGAAGCATCTCTGATGCCCCCCACCCCAAATTCTGCTTAAAATCTCCAATGAGGGGGAGCCCACCGCCTTTCACTGTTAAGCAGCTCTTAATGACAAGACATTCCTCCTAATGTTTGAGCTGCAACCTCCTTTCTTGTAAGCTGAATCCACTAGTTTGGATCCTGTCCTCTGGTGCAACTGGAAACAAGCATGCTGCATCTTCTACATGACTGATCTCCAGGGATCTAAACAGGGAAAACACGTAACAGTGGGTCCCAACTTTGGGTCCCCAGATGTTCTTGGATGACAACTCGCAGAAATCCTGGCCAGCACAGCTAGCAGCGAAGGCTTCTGAAAATTGTAGTCCAAAAACTTTTGGGGACCCAAGGTCGGGAACCACCATCTCACTCTTGACTCCTCCAGGCTAAAATCTTCTATCCTGGTCCTTCTTTCCATGTTCAGCTCACCTGTGCCAAGGAAGAGGACATCATATGACTCATTGCTGGCATCCCGGACCCTGTCCACCACGACACGGGTGTAAGTATCATTATTTCGGAGGATGTACAGGGGATGCTCCTCATCTGGATAGATGACAGTGTCTAATTCTGGGTGGTCCTTAATGAAAGTTAGTGTCTGTCTGGGCAAGACATGGTAGGAATCTGGTGAAACACACTGCAGCAAAGAAGGGAAAGGCAGACAAAGGGAAGTCAAGAAGCAATTTCAGAAATCAGTACATATAAAAGCCATAATGCAAAAATGTATTTATTTTGATTGATTTTTTTTAATTTTAAAAATGAAAGTAATGTTTGTAAGCTATTTTGGATGGCCAACATTTTCCCAAGCCTGTGTTCAGAGTAAACTGAAAACTGCAGTAAAATGCAAATTCAAAAATCGGCAATACATAATATACATACTTTCATGGATCAAACACCATTTCAGCGGGCTTGTACCAGTGTGAAGGACTTACCGTCCAAAAGTTCACGGCAAGATAGATTTTGCCAAGGAAGTTACTCTTTATTTAAATTCCAAAAATTCTTAGCAGGATGGATTTCACCAGGTGTGTCTTTCTTAGATGTAAGTTAGGAAAGATGCAGGAACAGTATGATTGATGTTTTAAAGTTACTGCAATAAGCTTCCCAGCAGTTAAAACAACCGATATTAAGATCTTGCTTAGGACGATATTAAGATCCAGACAAACAAGCCACACAAAAGTGAATCTTCAAGAGCTAGAGAAAACTGTTGTCATGGCTAGAAATAAAGACAATTTCCTGGAATAAGGAGGAAACCCCCATTCACTCCTAAACATCACAATACATAGGCCACATATTCACCAGGTCTTTTGCTGCCCTCTAACGCAGAGCACAGACATGCCAAACATACAGACCTATAGATCTGGGGAAGGGTTTCAGATGGAACTTACTGTGCCAGGTCTGGGTATAGGAATGGAGCCAGTGGCACCCTTGAAGGTTGAGGTCTTAAAAATGGAGCTAATTCGGTCCATTGAATATGAGCAAACAGCCGAAGAGCCCCTTGGGGGAAAAACACACAAAATAGCCCTATTAACAGAACTGCGAGGTGTAGGGAGTAAGCAAAGGATGATCAGAGAAAAACTGAACATTCCCTGGATGTCCTGACGTGATCACACAGGGGATACGAGAGACACTCTTCTCCGTGGCTGCTTCTCGACTCTGGAACTCCCTCCCACAAGAACCTAGGCTGGCCTCATCTTTGTTGTCCTTCCCAAGCAGGCAAAGACCTTTCTCTTTGGGTAAGCCTTCCCTCAATGACTGGCTGCCGAGTGGGGTTTTTTAAATTGATTCTTGTACCTTCCTGCATTGTATGTGTTTTTGGTGTTGCTGATGTTTTTTTTGGTATTGTATTCATCAATCTTTTTAGTATTGTATGCTCATGGTTACTAATCTTAAATACTATCTTTTTAGTGTTGTTGTTAGCTGCCTTGGGTCCTTTCAAAGGAGAAAGGCGGGTTAAAAATATTTGAAATAAATAAAATACAGCAAAGGCCTGAAGTTAGATGAGGCTACAGTTTCAGGACCAAGGATAGCTTCCCACAGCGATCTATAAATTCTCCTTAAACAGTGGATCTCAATCTTTCATATGTTATATATCCCACCCTAAATTGCTCGAAATACTCGGATCCACCATGGAAGAAGCAAAACTCCTAACTCCCTCAACCCAAGATATTTGCATTTTTAGAGGTGTTCTGGCAGGGCACAGACCGGGAATCTGTGTTAGGGAAATGGCACATCCTACGGGCCGGAGGGCTTAAGTCCCGGCTCTTTCAAGTGTTCCACGTCCCAGGTGCCACTCACCAAGTGCTGGAGAAGACACCATAAAGCACTGCCTTGTCCTTCCCATCCTTGGTGAAAACAAAGGCGTCCCGGAGGTGGTGGAAACGCAAAGGCTCATGGGGGTGTCCACACACCAGCCGGGCCTTGAGGAACGTGCTCCAGGAGTCCGTCAAGATGGGCTTCCCACCCATGTCCACCTGGAATGACAGAAGGCCACATAGTAGGGAGGCAAGAAGGAGCTGTAGATTCAGATCTGTTTGTTTCCAAGTTTCTAATGCAGCATTTTCCATGGCTTGTGGAGGGGTATTTTTCAGTGGAGAGGTCTGGATTTGAACCTGGGGCTTTCTGAACACACAAAATGACCTTGGACCAAATCTGCTCCAAGGGTGGGCAGCATGCAGCCCAAATATGTTTGGACTACAATGTCTATCATTCCTCACCAGGACAGTCAATGGTGAGAAGGGATGGAAGATGAAACTCAGCAACCTCTGAGGGATCACAACATGCCTAGAAACAGTTCTTCTTGGTGTTAGGTAAAGAGAGGAGTCTTTTGCCCTCCCATCCCTGATGTTACTTGATCCTTTTTTAACTGGGAATAAAACCCAAGGCTCTCTGCTTTCCAAGCAGCTGCTCTGCCTCTTAGTTGTTGTTCTTCCCAGTTTTCTGCTGCCTTGGTTGACCTCCCCTCAACCTGTCCAGATCTTCCTACATCTTTCTCAAAAAAAAAAAAAAAAAAAGCCAACCAGAACTTGAGACAGGAGCCTTGTGGTGCGGGTGATTAAACTGCAGTCCTGCAGGCAAGACTCTGCTCACCACCTGAGTTTGATCCCAACCGTCTCAGGTAGCCGGATCAAGGTTGATTCAGCCTGCCATCCTTCCGAGGTCAGTAAACTGAGTATACCTTTTGCAGGAGGAAGGGCAATGTATGGCCTGAATAATTTTTTTTTAAAAACCACATTAGCTATCTCAGGTTCAACTTGTGATCGGCTACAACCCTGAGATCATTTCCCACAAATCCGAATGATACAGGAAATGCCCCACTGCCCCTCCAGGCCACTTCCTGTTGCCTGGAAACCACCTCCCCACATCTCTCTCTGTCTTTCTCCATACCTTGCAGACACGTCCCAGCTGAGCTCTGTAAGGCTCCTCATCTAGCCCAGCCGTCTGATTGACTTCGTTGTAGAAAAAGAAAATTTCGTCCAGGCTCGGATTCTTCTCAGCAAGGGCAGCTGCCCCGACAAACTCTGCATCTGGGGTGGAAGCAAACTCAAGGTAAAACATCCGGTAAAATGATGCAGTCTTAGAACAACAGATACCACGTCCTGTTTCACACATAAGAAAGTTCTTGTTGCGAGGTAGACTAGTCTTGCACATGGAAGATCCAACATCATTGGGATGACTACTGATGCCAAGAGACCTTTTTCAATAATGAATTTATCTAAGCCTTGTTTTATAGATGAGACCAAAGGTTCATTTTCACACAGACACCAACTCACTACACGTGGAAGATCCAACATCACTGGGATGACTACTGATGCCAAGATACCTTTGTCAATAATGAATTTATCTAAGCCTTTATAAAACAAGTTGTTAGATGAGACCGAAGGTTCATTTTCACACAGACACCAACTCAGTGCTTCTGGAACAGACATTACAACGTTGACTGCTTCATTTTCCAGGCTCTTACCCTATAACCCAGTGGTTCCCAACCTTGGGTAATCCAGATGTTCTTGGACAAGAACTCCCGGGGATCCTGGCCAGCATAGCTAGTGGTGAAGGGGCTCTTACCCTATAACCCAGTGGTTCCCAACCTTGGGTAATCCAGATGTTCTTGGACAAGAACTCCTGGGGATCCTGGCCAGCATGGTGAAGGCTTCTGGGAGTTGTAGTTCAAGAACATCTGGGCACCCAAGCTTGGGAACACTGTTGTAACCCTTAGAATGGAACTCACCATTTCCCCAGGCAGTATTATTATTATTTTAAATATTTTAACCCCACCTTTCTCCTTAAAAAAGACCTAAGGCAGCTTACATCATTAAAAAGATGATCTTTAAAAGCTAAAAACAGTAAGGTTACTGAGCTGGGAATGCTTTTATTGTATCCCTCCTCCTATAAATAATTATTTAATTAAAGCCCTCAATTTGCATTTTTAGTTTGGAAATTTTAAGAAAAGTTTCTCGTCCTTGTTAAGTTATAAATAACAAGGACTAGACTCTAACCTTCTTAATTATACGCTGGAATCCTAAATGCCAAATTCTACAGGTAGAAGGGAGAACAAAGGAACAAAACGAATACAACTGAACAAAAGGAGACTTTTAAATATCATGATACAAATATTCTACTTTGAGATAATTGGATCAAGAATTAAGAATACTTCTTACTGCCCAGCCAGCTGTCTTCTGTCTTAATCCCCTTTTTCGTTCCATAGCTTCTATGGATACTGCTTTTGTTTCCAGACAATGCAGAATAAAGGCTGCCTTCTAGAATTTTAATAACAGACAACAAAAAAGAAGAAGAAACATAACAATACTTTTCTTCCAAAAGTGTGAGCATTAAAGCATGCAATGGAACACATCTACTTTTAATTCTTTCTTCCGGACCTGTCATGCTTTTCATCTTCCTTGAAAATCTAACAGTGGAGACTAGATTTGTTGCTTTCACGACTCACCTAAATGAAACGCAATCCGGGACCATAAAAAGTGAGGTTCACAGAAATGCTTTGGAAAGAGGTGAATGGTGCTTCTGTCCCCGTGGGATGGGTGAATGCACTCTAGGTTTTCCTCCAGACTTGAAGGCATTACCCAGGTTTGCTGCATCCTAGTCCCCCCCCCAATAAGTTTCAGCAACTTGGGCAGCATCCAAAATGGAAACCAGAACAATTTCATTGTGTCATTGGAAACTGAGCTGTAAGCTTGCTGTGAACGACAGCAGTTGTGTTTATGACACTCAGTTAGGGCTAGAGTTGGCCATGGAGATAAAGAAGTGACAAGAGAGCAGTAGGACTTTATCAGTTGAAGCACAGACTATTATGGAACTGAAAGGTACCTTTCCAAAAGACGTTAGAGTCAACAACTCAATTGGATAGTTTTCTCTGCCTCTGAGATATTTTGGAGGAAGCAAAAAAAAAAATTAAGGGAAAACAGAAAGAACTCAGGAAGAAGGAAAGCATCTTGATTTAATTTACAGTGGATTTGGCTTTTAGAGGGAGTAAATAAAAGGTTCAACCTGAAAGCATCCATTCCACTTTGGAAACAAGATCAGTACATTCAGAAGCCAGGGCTCTGGAGAGGATAAATTTCCTAATGCCTTACCTACTGCGATAGCCACGGCATTTTGGGAGTCCAATGCAGGAACAATGTTTTCTCCCAAGAGGGTTATAACTTGGCCTTCGTTTTTCTTTTCCCAAGTTGTGGTGTTGATCTTGGAGAGAAGGCAAACAAAAATAGGTTGACGTATTTTAGCCACTCAGGGGTGTCCTTCTCTTTCCTGTCTCTGTGGCCTCCTGCCATTTTGTTCCTTTGACTTTCAAGAGAGACCCTCTCTTCCTGCCTCCCCACCCTCCATATTTCCACACACATATTTCCCATTAATGGATCAAGGGTGATGGCCCTTACAGTTTCCATAGAATCACAACCTTTGTGTCTTCTTTTTCTCTCCTGGAAAGTTGAGACAGCAATCCTAAACTCACTTATCAGGACCTAAGTGCATGGAGGGCAATGATACTGGCTTCTGAGTTACACATTAAGAAGACTGGTCCAGTAAAGAAAGAGAGAGAGATAGATAGATAGATAGAGAGAGAGAGAGAGAGAAGGGGCGTTCTTTCATTTCTGCGATGAATCACCCAACTGTATGCTCACCAGAAACCAACACTTCGGGGCACCTGCGTTGGTCCCGCAGACCAAGATTTTCTTATCCCACTTCTCAATCACTCGGATTAAATTGTCACAGTTAACCTAGTCAAGGAAGCACATCAATAGTTAGAGAGCAGGAAGTGGCCAGCACTGCAGAACTTATTTTTTTAAACAGTATTCCATTACATTTAAAGTTCTAGACCCCACCAAATTAGTTACTACTGTAGCTGCATTCCCCCCCCTCAAAAAGCAACTCATTACTTTTCCATTTATCCAAAGCGGAGCTTGGAGGTAACTAGTTCCATAGTTACCTGTAACCTTATTTTGGACGATAACAATGTTGTAAGTAAGGTATCTTTCAAAAACCACGCAACAAGAATTTGCTTACAGCCATCCTGACAGCAATTTTTCAAATTTCAAACCATTCTCTTACCAATCCTCAACGTTAATGTTTTGTGTGATACCAGGATTGGGCACTACAAGAAACTGGAGATGATTTCCCTGAATTTTTCTGTTTTTCTAGTAAGAACCTGTTAACAATGCTTAAGTTAGTGTATTGTTATTACAAATGGCGCAGTAGTAACAATAACCTAGTTACAAGTAATGCAATTAGTTCCTTTTCAAAATCAGTGCCTACACCTAGTTCCATTTCTTCTTACCTCTCTTGATGCATTTTTCCTTTGGCAGTCTTTCTCTGCCTTCTCCTCAGCTTTCAGGGTGATCTGGGAAAAAATAATAATAATCTGGAGCAAGCAGAGACACGAAAAGAGATAGATTCTGGGAAAGTTGGTACCATAGCTGCATTCCCACCATCACAAGGGTAGTAAGCTCTTGATTTGAAAACATGACCCTTTTCTCTTAGATTGCGAGGGGGAAAGCTTTGATTGTTGCATTTTGGTTAATTGTCGCATTTTGGTTGAGGTTGGGGTTTGGGGAATCCAGAAGGTAATGGGTATGGTTTTTTTTCAATCCGTGGGGAAGACAGAGGGCTGTTCTCAACGCCAGTTTCCAGGGGCAGCTGCCTCCCCCAGCCAACTGGTAGGTCCAGCTCCACATCCAGGCTTCCCATGACTTTGCCCCTTGTCCCTTACGTTCTGTTGGGTGATCTCCGAGTCTGTAAAAGTCAGGACCCACAGCATCCCTCGGCCTCCGATTAACACCTGTCTGGAGTCGACATCGTAGAACACAGCTTTCGGACTCTCCGTCTCGGGAAAAGCAGACCACAGAGCATCTGAAAAGAGACAGGCTAAAATGCATAAAATCATATCCACCCAAGAAGCACGGAGAGCGAACACAGCATTGTGGAAATGAAAATAGAAGAAGGGGTTGCATATATTTATGGATACAACCCAATCAAGTTGGTTGACTGAAGTGCCTCCAAAAACTGGGACCCAAGACAGTGAGATTAAGAACAGAGGGGTGGGAAATCTACCAGCGCAAATTTCTCATCTTTTCCACATCTTAAACTTCTGTACCACTCCTGAATTAGCTGGCAAAATTCTGGTTACAAAGGTCCACTAGAAATTTCATAGGCATTTATGTGAGATTCCCTAATATATGCATTTATTAATATTATTGTTTAATATTGTTTTTTGGTGCACAGATTATTTCCTGAATCTATGTAATTATGCAACCTGTTCTCCTCTCTGTGTGACCAATTTCTTTCTTTAATCAGAGCTCAGAAACATTACCGCTGTGGACTATCATTCCCAGAATTCACCCACCCACCCAGGAAAGCAATGTTTCCAAAGCTCTGCTCCTTACATATCCATTTAGGGGCACATTCCCCCCCCCATATTCACAATTGCACACCTGCTACACACACACATTTACTGAGTTCCAACCAGCGAGCTACACAGTGGAATAAGAGAGAGAACCTTTCTCTGTTGCTATAGCAATGCCAGCACATTCGTTACCCCCACCCCTGTCCTCCTCTCTTAATTAGCGTATGCCAGTTGCACAAACCATGTGCATTTCAGCACAACGAAGATGAGCGCATGTCTGCCTCACCATTGCACGGATCTGGGGCGCTGTGTTTCCTCCGCCTCATTTCAGAACTAGCATCTCTGTTTTATCTGCAATGCAGAGGGTACCGAGATAAGACTCCGATCTGTTCTCTATTATCTCATCCTCCATTTCCTGGCCACAGAAGATCGCTTACTTTCTGAGATTGGGGTGGGTGGGCTGGAAAGCTGGCACGATGCCAGTCCATCTCTTCATTTTTCAGACTGGCATGGCCTAATATATAGCCTGTAGGAAAACAAGGTTGGGTTCTTCCCCCCTCCCCCCAGATTACTTCTTGGTCTGCGACAGGGGTCTGATTCAGTGGCACCACTGGCAGAAGGCAGAGAGTTGAACACTTGGGCCACAGAAGCAGAACGAGAAATACAGATTGGTACAGCTGATCATTCAATATTGGAACCAATGGGAAAAGATGTCAGAGAATAACATCAGCTGGAGAACCTGACAGAGCAGTTGGGATGTAGCAGAGCCCCGTGCTTTAGACCAGACTTGCCACATCCGAAGTCAAATTCTTTGTGATGAGGTCTATTCTCTGGAAGGAGTGGAATCACAAAGATGAAGAAGAGGCTGATGGACAGACAGGGTGGAGCATCGTTCCTCTAAGGCTGACCATGTGCTCCGCTGAAAAATACTCTGACAAGTACAGTACAATGTTTTGATTTCCTTTGAAAAGAGAGAGAGAGAGATTGAGGAAAGACCCACAAGACTTTCCGAGATTTTGGTTAAAACAGAAATCAGTGGAAATTCACTGAATCTCCATTCCTCCATTTTTTCCAGGAATAAAGAGCTGATGGATGTTTTCGTCCCACTAAATCAAAAGATCATTATGCCACAGGGACCAGACTTGGCATTAGCGTGGAGTGCCCGGCTCCCTGCATTATAACAAACTAATGTTTGGCACAGAAGACTCTTCATCTCTCTTAGCTTGCAATCTAATACCCAGACGAGGTGCAGAAAGAGGCAGGATGATTTATTTCCAGCCCATAGACAGAGCAGAGCTTAAAACATGGGATAAAACTGTTCTTCTTTTAACAATTACAAGCCCATTTGTTCTCCCTCCACCTGCAGGCCCCTGGTGTGGAGCATCCCATGAGCATGTCCAGAGTGACATTTTTCTCTCCATCAGAGATGACCAGGTGCCTCAAAGGCATTGAATGCAGGAGTGTGTGTGTGGGAGAGAGACTTTTTGGTAAGCCTTGCCACTCCCTAGTCTAGAAAAGGAAAACTATACAAGCCACCATTTCCCTCCCCTTCAAACCTCTCTCCCCCCCCCCTCTCTCTTAAGTGAAATCACAAGACCACACATTCTAAATGCTGTTTCAAGAGCTTCTTAGGTGGGGGAAAATGGAAAGCCTTAGAAAATGCCCCACCCTGTCCATACCTCTGTCCATTCTCTCCTCCACTATACTAGCTCTCTTTCGCTCCCTCCTATCCACAAACACATGCTTCAGATCGCCCAATCCCTTTGCACGGGGCACTTTTCTCAGCCGCATGCAGCTTGGCTCACTTACTTAGAGCCAGCTGCAGGGATTGGCTGCATGGAGCCCGGCTCGCCATTTACATGACTCTCAAAAATGGAAGATTTCGGGGTTCAGAGGCTGCTCAGAAACAGTTTTCATGGGGACGACTTAGTGACTGGACAGAAAAGAAAGCCTGGCTCCTTGCCATCTTTTGAGCGACGGGTCATATTAAAGAGACCATTTTCCTTGAAATTGCGGGTGTTTGTGTGTGTATGCAAAATCCCTGCATAGTGTCTAACCGAGGGAGACCCTCACCTGAACTTTCTGGATGCTGTGGTTTGCAAACAGCCAGCAAGGGAGAAAAAACCTTGAGTTTTATCCTAATATATCCTTTGCAAATGGGCTATCATTTTAAACACTTTTCTTGTCGCAACACAACATCCTCCGTATCCTACGCAGCACCTCCAATGCAGTATGAAAAGGGGGTTATGGATGAAACATGAACTACATCCCACTAACAGGAGGGGAGGCAGATGCCTCCTGCTGAAGGTGGAAAGATTCTGCCGGAGCATTAAAACACCATGTAAACATAGGAAGTATTCTGAATTCCAGATTTCTAAATAATTCCTCCCTGGATATAGAATTGGGATAGGCATTTGAAAAAGCCATTCCCCTGTTCTCTCCCTCCTTCCATCTCTCTCTGTCCATCTCTTCTCTCCCTTCTTTTCCCCTCTTCTGCAAAAGGTTTTCTAAACTATTATTTATTTATTTAGTTTGTTTATTTAAAATATGCCTACCCCACCTTTCTCCTTAAAAGGCAGCTAAAACTAACAACACATATGCACGGTACTGATACCTTTTAAAAGCCAGACCAGTGTTTCTGATGATAGAATATTATTCTTTTTTTAAACAATTTTTAAGCATGGTGTTTTTTTTAAAAATTAAGTACTGATGGATCCAGTGTGTTCATTTCCGGCTAAACAGGTGCAGAAAAACTCTGGAGAAGATGGATAGATCAAGGTACAAGGCTCACCTTTTGGGACCAGCTTCAGGCGGGGGATCTTCTGGGACGACACCAGGCCCAGGAGCCAAAAGAGGCAGAAAGGGAGAGGTCTCATTTTTCTCCCGGCGGAAAGTCTTCGGAGGATGAAGCTGCTGCAGAAAATACCTCAGAAGGAAAGCTTTTTTCCCTCCTCCTTCTGGCTCCGGTAAGATCTGCCGCCTCTCTTTTCTCCCCTCTGCCTCCCTCTGTTTTCTAATTTATAGCCCCTTGGAAAAAAAAAATCCAGCCAAAAGCCGACGTCAGCATAACTTCCTCAGGGGGAGGAAAAACACATCCAGGCTGGATGGGAGAGCTGGGGCAGTTTCAAAAGCAAGCGATCTGCAGAGTGAAGTTGACTGGTGGGAGGAAGAAAAAAACACAACAAATCTCTCTCTGATGTTACATATATTTCCCCACAGCAGGGATACTTTGCTGCTTGGTTATCGGTCTCTTGACGTTTAGATCCAGGCAGGGCAGAAGCGACCTCTTGTCTCCCCAGCGTGGTCTCACAACAGCCCTGAGAGGTAGATCAAGAGGGAAAGAGAACCAGCCCAAATGCTGGCTGGCAAGTTTCTTCGCTCAGCAGAAAGGGCAGGTTCGAACTCCCCAGTCCCAACCATTTCCCACTTTGGGTCCCCAGATGTTCTGGGACTAAAATTCCCAGAAGCCACTGGCTGGTCTGGTCTGGATTTCTGGGAGTTGCAGTCCAAGAACATCTGGGGACTCAGGGTGGGGAAGCGCTGCTCTAACCACTATGCCACACTATCACCTCCCGTTTTGCTTCTCCAAGGCTTAGACTGGCACCATGTCCAGGCGATTGAAAGGAAGAGGGAACAGTGGGTATGAGACATGTGGCCGTACCAGGCCTGGACTCATCCACAGACCGCTGCACTGAAATCTGTGGCAACTCGATCTTAATCTTAGAATGGCAGAGCTAGAAGGGATCCTATAGATCATCAAGTCCAACCACTGTCAAGGAGGCCCAGTAGGGGAGTTCAAACCCCCAACTTCTGGCTCCGCAGCCAGAAATCTAAACCCCTGAGCTATGTGGATAGGAAGCTGATAGCAGGCATTAGTGCTCTCCAGTTGTTAAGACCTATATAGTGGTACACTGCTCCTGAACACAGAGGCTCTAAGTTAAAATACCATGATTTACACATACGAGACCAAATATCCGTCTTTGTCCAGATGTTGGTGGATTGCAGCTTCATCATCCCTCACCCCAGGCTGTGATGTTTCCGGCTGGTTGACAACATCTGGAAAGCCACATGTTCCTCCTACTCTAGGATCTAGTCCAGCACCCTAAACCCAGACACAGTCCACTTATATGGCAACCATCTTCCTCAGTCCATCCTGCCGCACCCAAACCCTTCCCCCATTTCCCAGCTCTGACTGCAGGGGAGGGTTCAATCCTGCTAAGATGCAGGGTGGCCGTAGCACAAAACATTTCTTGGAGCGGCCTGCCCTCTCTTGGTCTTTCCGGAGCACTGCAGCTCCCTGGAATTAAAACTGTCTCCTGGACAGAAGTAGAATTGAAATAATTCAACCCTATTCTCATACATGCTTAATTTATAAGGGGAACAATCCAGGCAGTGGGTGGGTGGATAGGTGGGTGATGCAGTGTTAGAACAGGACCTCTGCTCTATTGTTTTCCAGATTAAAATACTCCAGAAAATGTGTTAAAAGGGATATCTCTCATTCCGGTTGTTGGGATTCGCTTTCAAACTGTTCTCTAATTATCCTATCTGCAGCCAAGTTTTTATTCAGCATCATCTAGCTTTCTGAATCCCTGCCCAGTGCATCTGCCCAGGTTAGAGTTCCCAGTTAAATACACTTGGCTTAATCCCACCCCCCACAAAAACCAGTACTGGATCTATTTCTAGAACATACCGTGCCTGATTCCAGGTGTACGCATGCAGAAGAAGGCAGCTGCCAACTTGCATTCCATGGTCTTCACATGTCTCCTTTTTTGATCAGTTGATTTTTCAGAGTTCACACACAGAACCGCATAAGGATAAGCTAACAATCAGATGGTGGAGGTGAAGTCAGTTTGTTCAACATCTTCTCCCAAGGATGAACTGCTGACAGAAGGAGCAATTCCACCTGAAGCTGCATTTATATAGAGCCCGTCAAGCCCGCCCAGGTCACCCGACCCAACTGGGCTGCTGAGCCACAGAACCCTCTTTGACCATGCCCCCGGGTGGCACTCTGGCACACAAATCAGCAAGCCCATAATTCCATTGGTGTCAATTAGGGACGGTCAAAACATGGCTCTCTGGGTACTGTTCAATGATAGCTCCCATTATCCTGCAGCACATGTTCTGCAGTCTGGGGCTGATAAGCATTGTAGTCCAACATTTGGAGGGCCATGAGATGCCATTTTCTTGGCCTAAACCTTTACATTGGAGAAATAGGGAAATGGCTGGAAGATGGATGATACAGAACTGCCTTCTGTGTGTTTCTGCCTTTTGTTTTAAAATCTAAATATGAAAGAAGAATACAGAGTGAAGAGTTTTCCCCTCTGCAAATGGGGCTTCTACCTTTTTTAAACGCTTGGATACATTTGCATCGGTTCAGATCATGTGATCACTGGAACCAATGCAGAAAACTGTGATCCTTTGCTCTTTGCTTTCCCCCCTCCATGAAGAATATGCCATTAAAAAAACAGCTTGGTGCCAGCGCTGCTGCAAAAAGAAAAAGGGAGAGAAAATGAGAATGAGGGGAGGAATTTGCCAGTCTGCCCTTGTTTACAGATTATTAGTAGATCTTCCCTAGCTATGCCCTTTGTAGGAGAGCTACATGAACAAGCTGTAAACAAGGCTGTTTAGGCAATTTCCTCTTTTCTTTGTGTAGCCAGTTAGTTTAAACAGACCTGAGAAACCTGAATTCCCTGGGGCAACTTCACAATGAAGGAATTCACATTTTGTTTGTATGTAGTCACCTCCCACAAAAAAAGAGAGTCAAGCTTGTCTCTCCTGCAACATTGCTCACTCTGAGAATCATCTCCCTGCCTGGAGACAACATTTCCAGGAAATTCAGCTGGCACCCTCATGTACTTCCTACTTGTTATTTATGTACCTCTCTTCCCCAGCCCAGCAACTTCCTATTGTATTGGGGAACAACCCCCATTACTCCCAGCTAACACAGGGGTGGGGATGATGGGATATATTGTCCAGCACACCCGCTGGATAGGAAATTGAGAAATACTGTTATAAAGCTTCCTTAGTCCTCATCCTCTTACAACATGCCCCCTCCTTTTTGGGGGGAAAGGCTGCATAAATGAAATTAGGTTGTCTCTCTCAACTCTTCTGGCTTATAAGTTCCTGGGAAAATGCCATGCAGGCTGTCATTTTCTTTGAAAAGAAAAAGGGAAAACCACTGAAGGCTGTGGGTTTTCTGTGCAAGAAAACAAAACACCAGAAGAAAAAGAGAAACGGAAAAGCATGTTGGTTTATTAATGTACAAGCTGTGTGGAAAAAAAAATCAAGGTCCAGCATGAAGTAGAAGCAGGGGGAATCTGAACAGAGCTACTTTTTGTTTCTGGCACCCCAAAATCCCAGAGTTCGGCATCCAGAATTCAAATCCACCACTTCGATATTTGCAGGCTGCCAATTCTCAATGCTGATACTGTATTTGTCTTTGAGAAGTGCCGACAAGACTTGAAATCTTTCTCATGGCACTATCCTGAAATCTAACGACTTCTGTGTGTCATGACGCTATCTCAGAGTTGTGAGTAACACACACAACTCCCCTTGCCAAAAAGAAGCTGAGAACTTCTGAAACGCCTTGTAACCCTAGTAAACACAAATAACAACCTTTCTTCCTGACACTTCCACCTTCTATAGGTCCCGCTGAAACTCTTTAACATCCACCCACCACACTCTAAATTTATAAGCTGGAAGAAGAGAATTATTCTATTATTCTTTTTTTAATTTAAGGCAGCTAAAGCTTGATCTTTAGCTCCTCCAGAAAGAGACACCCATCCATTCCTCTTTGTCTGAAGTCTCAGAGGGTGGAAAATCTACATTTTCCCCTTTGGTATGCGCTGCTAACAAGCAGGAGAAACTCTGTAGAGGCTAAGGAGATCTCTCTTGGTGCTGTAAGGACCTCCTTGGCCCATTGAGAAGATTCCCTTTGTCCATGTAAGAGCTAGCATTCAAGGAGAATGGAATGATGTCCTTCAACTCAAACAGAAGCCAAGGGGTTAATTCATCTTGGTTTCTTATTTATAGTTCTGCATTTGCTGGACATAGCCTTCCTACCAAAGGGGTAATGGGGCACCGATTCAGTCACATAGGTTTTGGTGTTTCCTTTGCCCTTACTCCAGAGGAAGATGAAAAGGAAGCAAACCATCACAGAACAGAGGAAGGGCACAATTCCAATGGCCAAGATCCCCACCAAGGTGCCGGTGTCAACCAGGAAGGGGTGGAAGGACATCCTTGTGTTGTTGAGCAAGTTGACTTCATTCAAGAGGAAGGAGCTGTTGAGAAGAGGTACAGAGACATGAAGATGGGCCACCTTGGTGTCATTACCAGCTGTGTTGGTTGCGATGCAGAGGTACCGCCCACTGTCTTCTGGCAAGGCATACTGGATCTTCAAGGTACCATCAGAAAGGACTGCCAGCCGACCCTTGTGACTGGTGTTCAATGTGACATTTTGAGGGGACACCCATGAAACAGTGGGAGGTGGATCTCCTCCACTTTTGCAGGTCAGGTTGGCCTCATCACCTTCTTCAATGTTCACGGTCTGAAGGGTCTTGTCCTCAATCTTAGATTTCCTACATCTGAAGTGGCCTGGGGAGATATCTGAGAATCTATGGAAGACTTTTCCTTTCGTGGTTGAGTTAATAGCACAGACCGGCTGACGGGCTTCAAAATTCAACCTCTGCCGCCTCCGGACAATCCACAGGAGTCGGCAGTCGCAAGCCAAAGGGTTTCGGTCCAATCTGAGGACCTCAAGGTTCCCTACAGAGTGGAAGACATTCTCCTCAAGAGTTTGCAAACTATTGCTTGAGACATTGAGGAGGCGGAAGTGGACAAGGCCATGAAAGGCGCTCACGTGTATCGTGACCAGCCTCCCACCTGTGAGGTGGAACTCCTGAAGACGGGAAAGGTCTGCCAGCTTCTTCCCATGGATGACAGAGATTGGGTTGTAAGAGAGGTCAAGGACACGGAGGTGAGCCAAATGCTTGATGGCTTCGTAAGGGACATCGTGGAGGTTGCATTTTGTGATCGACAAGGAGGTGATGTTTAAGCCGGAGAGGCTTTGAGACTGCAACGTCGTCAGGAAAGGCCACCGGTGGATTTCTAGAACTCTCAGGTGAGGGAGTCTCTTAAAAGAGTGGTTGGGAAGGATACTGATGTTCAGGACTTTGAGACGCAGCTCCACGAGATGGTGCAGGTGGGAGAAAGCTTCTGTCGGGATGCTGGTGAACTTACACTTCTCTAGGCTGAGCTGCTGGAGACGCTGGAGGCCACGGAAAGCATGGCTTGAAATGAAGACCAGGTGGTTGCCTCCCACCTCCAACTTCCTGAGATTGGAGAGGTCCTTGAAGGAGTGATCCAGGAAGACAAGGATCCTGTTCTCACTAATGTCAAGGACGGAGAGGTTGGGTAGCCCGGCAAAGATGCCGTCTGAGATCATATCCAGCCTGTTGCTGTTGAGCTGCAGAGTCATCAGGTTATGTAGGCTATTGAAGGCTCTGTGTTCGATGTTGGAGATCACGTTATGGCTTAGATCGAGCTCCTTCAGAGCCCGCAGACGGGAGAACATTCCCCCTTGCAGGGTGCGGAGGAAATTGCGGCTCAAGTCCAAGAACTCGGAGTCTGGAGGGATCCTGCCTGGAACGCTCGTCAGATTCCGGCCGTTGCAGAAAACCACCTTATCCTGGGCCATACAATGGCATTTTGAAGGACAGCTCCGTCCAAATCCCACCAAGAAGGCCACCGGGATGAGAAACAGCAGGGACGGCCAGCTTGACCAGGAGGAGGACAGAGAATCCAAAAGGGTCCTGGCTGCCATCTTGCTTGCTTTCTGGAAGGTAATAAGGAAAAGGTTCTAGTTAGTCCACAGGGTGATGTGGTACGATATCTGTTATGAAGCAGGAGAACAGGATGGATGCTCATCAAATGGTGGGTGAGTGTCAACATTCACAAGCCCATCTAGGACAGCCTTCCTTCACCAGGTGCTTTCCAGAGCTCTTGGTTTTCAACTCCCATCAGCCCCGGCCAATAATTGGGGTTTATGAGAGCTGTGATCCCAAAAAAATCTTAAGGACCCAGGACTGGGGATGGATCTTTGAGCAACAGTTCTGAGAAGATCAGGGCAAAGAGGAGCATGGAAAGGTCTCCTCCCTTCCTTCTCCTGGGCTTTTAGGAATATCTCCCAGATTTCTGTTCTTCAATCTGAGGTCCTTGAGATATTTTGGGAGCGCGGCTCCAATCATTCTCTCACATTCAAAACATCCAAAGAGAACCAGCTTGGTTGGGGGAAGTTCCAACAGAGGAGGGCTGAGGATCATCCAACAAGACTCTTCTCATGGATTTTAAGCTTACTCCCAGTATTCTTCTATTTGCCTGGGGGGGGGGAAGAGCTTCTTCTGTGTTCCAGTTCACCTTCTGGACCTCAAAACCCTTAGAAAGAGGCAGCAAAATCCTCAGCTCTCTAACAATTCCCTCCCAGCTGCCACTACCATTAAAAAGTTGACATTGCCTGGACTTTTCCTACCTTATGCCCCCAGAAGCCACTGGCAATGGTGCGGCTAAAAAATATTGTAAATAAATAAATAAATAAATAAATTCCAACAGTGGGACTCTTGATAAAGACCCTACACGGAGAAAAATAAAGGTGTAATTATACTTACCAACAAAAAGTAAAAAGTGTTTGTGAAGGGGTTCAATTCTATTCTCAAGTCCGCCGTCCGAAATCATCTGATTTTCAGACAAGACTCAGGGTGGCTTTGACGGAACTGAGGTGGAACCTCCTTGGTGGTGAATCACCATTTATGTAATTAGATCCTCACTCAAAGTGACTTTTAGTTCAAAGAGCAGATTTAACTCTTTGTGGGTGGTAGAGGCCAATATTTTTTTTCAAAACAACCCAAAGCACAAGTCCGAACATTGGAAAAAAAAATCATAAGCTGACACAGAAATGGGACAGAATGAGCTAGAATATGGCACGGTCAGCGGGGGCAAATCAAAGCTACATTTATCTGCACTTCCTACGGTTACATTCATAGCATCCTGGTGGTAAAGACAGAAATGATCTGAGGCAGGTAAAAAAACAAACTGATCTAACTAGACCCTTAACGGTGTCCTGTGCAAAATTTGGAAGTTTTAAATGTGGGAATGATTGGGATTTCAAAATGGGTCCATTCCAAAAGGCCAGGTACCTGGAACAACAAAATGTAAGGAACCTCCCCCCCCCAATGGAGTGAAAGCAGTAAATAACACAAGTCATAAAAAGGTATTAAGGGTCTGGAGAATCCCAGAGGAAAGAGTGGGATGAACTGTAAGGTTTATATGTTGATTGATTGCAGATGGGCAATAAATGATCATATAATCCTTACCAAACATAGATGTTGTCATCTATGTTGACAATTTTGGCCCCCCACCCACCCACAATTTAAACTGAAGGGAACATAGACGTCGTCATCTATGGTCCTTAAGACAATTTTGGCCCCCCCACCCACCCACAATTTAAACTGAAGAAACTGATAAATGCCCTTCATGTATAAACTGAAATACAAAAGGCACTGCATCATTAAATGAGAGACAGTGTCAAAAAAAAAATCTACTGTGTTGTGACGAAACAAGGCTCCTTTAAGCAAAATTCCTTTTTGCAACGGTAGCAGGGTGGAATCCATCTCCTCAGAAGTCTGTATCGCTCACCTTGGAACATGGCCTTAAGCAGGAACAACTGTGGTCAGGCCTAGTTCAGCATCAGTAGACTTTCTCCAAGGCCTCCTAGTTGTTGTGTTTTGTTTTAGCTGTGCAGGATTAAGCTTTAGTTGCTGTAGGAAGAGCACAAGTAATTACTTTTCTCAAAAAAACAAACCAACCCCACACCATTTTGTATTCTTTCGGGGAGAATCATGTGGCCACTTTGTCCACTGCTGTCGGACCGGGGACGGTCTTGTGGTTTGTCTGTCCACAATTCATGTTAAGGAAGCTCAGAAAGAGTGGAAGAAGAATCACAGTATTGGAAGAAATCCTAGGATATGATCAAATCCAACCCCTGAATCTTGCAACGACAGTGTCCCTAATGCATTGCTAACCCCCCACCATCAAACTTCTGCTTAACTACTTCAAGCTAACAAGGGGCTTGCACCCAAGAGGGAGTCAGTTCCATGGGTAAAGCTCGTCCCCGTAGGAAGCTTCTCTGAAATGCTTCCTTGAAATCTCTAGTCTTTTAGTTTTTCCACCCATTTGGTTCTGGTCCTGACTTCTGGAGCAAGAGGAAACAAATTTTTTCTCGGTTCTTTTGCACGACTGCACTTCAGATATGTGAAAACTGCTGCTGCGACTCTCTGCTTAACCCTTTCTTCTCTGAAACAAACAGATGCTTGAGCTCTCAGCACTTCCTTGTAGGGTCAACTTTCCAGATCATCAAATTGCTTGAAGGTGGTGATCCTTACCTGACAAGATTCTTGTTAAAATTTCCCTTTAAAAGTAACTTTTTGAAATTAGCTTGTGAAAAAAAAAACCCACTCATGATGCCCAGTGAGGTAATTTTGTTCCTGCTTGTTGTGACATTGAAATGTTGATTTTTTTAATCCCCTCCTCCTTAACTCAAAGCAATTAGTTACAAATAACTACAACCAAACTGTTACTTGTAACTATTCAAGCTCTGATAAGGATTGTAGGAAATCATTTGAGGGTGAGAATTCTCTATACAGGAGTGATCTGTCATCACCAGAATGCTCTAGGGTGCTGTTATGATTTGGGACTTGTTCCATATGGGACACTTAATCTGGTTTAACCTGTCCTGGGGAATACTGGGAACTGTAAATTTATCCGAAAGGCCTCTGTGGACTTACCTTCTCCTAGTAGACCGATCCTCTCCTAGCGACTTAAAGACTTCTTGGACGGAATTTCAGTTTCCTAGAATTCCCCGGGGTGTAGTGAAACCAGATTCGGAGGTCCCTCGTGTAGACAGGCTGGTTGAGCTTCTTGCAGCCACCAAGTCCTCGCTTCTGAAGGCCACCCTGCCCGGCGCCGACAAACGGCACCGGCTCCCTCGCCGGGGCCAGGCAATGCAATTCCGCTAAGTGTCCCCTTGGCGTCTCTCCAGCTGGTGCATTAAAACGGAGGCATCAAAGGGGAAAGATGATTTAGGGAACTCGGGAAGTCGCATGAGAGATGGGGGAGCCAGAGGTTGAGATCAAAGCAAGAGCCAGCAACAGGGGATGGTGTGTCTTGTTCCAGATGTTCACGAAGCTGCAAGGACATGTCTGGAACACTTCGCTGCTCTTAATCCTGCCCTTCCTTCTGGCAGTAGAGGACAGTGGGAGGCTGATGCATTGGCACTACTTATTGTTTTTATTTATGGCGGTTATCTGTTTTGATTCGGGTGTCCCGGCTGAGGATACCCAGGAACGTGGCTGGCATTGTCTTAATTAACAGCTTTTTGTCACTGTCATTGATGTGATTTCACTTAATAAATTGCCATTAAGATTCTAGCCAGAGGGGTCTATTTTACACTCATTTCAGCCAAGGGTGTATTCAGACTGTTACGAAGGCGTCTTTCTGACAGGCGTCTTTCTAAAGTGGCCCTTCTGTCTTCTGGGTAATGGCTCCAGTCCAGCCTTAAAAAAGTAGAAGCCCTCCAGCTGGACCAAAAACGTTCAGATTGAGCACGGATCAGGATTTAGCTGGAATGCATTTCCCAGTGTGTCATGTGATCGACAGGAAACACATAGCTTCTTTCTTCATATTTAGCGCTAGGTCCTGCTCAAATATACAGTAAGGACCCCTGTATCTGTGGGATTGGTATCTGCAGTTTCACTTAATGGCCGGAAAATATTAAAAAATATCAAAAGAAAAAAAAGACTTATTTTTCACAATGTATTTACCACAATTGGTCGCTAGAGGTGCTTGTTGGTGAAAAATACATAGCATGGTCTCTGGCTCCTTCTAGTGGTTAGTTCTGGTAAATACATTGTGAAAAAACATGGAGATTTTTTTAAAAATATATAGCATACTCAATTATCAGCAGTTTCTAGTATCTGCAGGGCATGCTGGAACCAATCCACCTGCACATACGGGGTTCCTACTGTATCTATCATGTTCTTTTGTTTATTATTTATTTATTTAAAATATTTTAACCCTGCCTTTCTCCTTGAAAGGACACAAGGCCCTGTTCATCATTCCAGCGGTGCAGGGGTGATGTTCTCGAGCCCTCCCTTTGAGTGTGACACCGCTAGGAGGAGAGTCAAGGCTGCAGACACCCGGGAACTGCCACTAGCCTCTGAACTGGGACGTTTAATTAGACTAATGCAATCGTACCTTCCAGAAAATCGGGAGGGAGAAAAACAAGGCGAGCGTGATGGAGGGAGAAGCCAACAAGCTCTGGATGTTTCCCTGCCAAACCAATTTCTTGAGAGCTTTTCTGATCCTGGAGCTGGCGAAATGCAAATCTTCTACTCAGGAAAAGCTCAGGTATGCAACGAATGATCTTTCCTTCCTATTGAGAAAACAGGAATGTGCCCCAACTGTTGGGGGGGGGCAACCAACCACAGAAACAGATCAGTAGAACTGAAAAGGACCCCCCTCCCTCAAAAACTCTGAGCCCCAAACTCTTATCGATGC